CAAGGAAACGGAGTTTAGCAAAGAGAAATGACTAAGGCCACGAAGGCCCTTTCGACCCAGAGTTGCTGGCGGTTAGGCTGCCCACACGCCCCTCTCTTTGTGCCAGTGGGGACCGAATTGCTCACACGCCCCCTCTCTTTGTGCCAGTGGGGACCGGGGAGCCCCATCTGAAACCCGATTGCAGCGACCTTGGTTGAATAACGACGGTGATGATCACGATGATGATGTGGTGTTTCCGCTCTAACCCACCTCCTCCCGGCTGACTTTATTCCAGGCAGGGTGGTTTGCGTTTGTGGCTACTCTTTCATTTCAGTTTGCGCTTGTCCACCCCGCAGAGCTCTCCCTGCTGTCGCCCCTGCCTGGACCTTCCTCCTGAGGTCACAGCACAGCTCGGCTGCCCCCAGAGTCCACTGTCCGCTACTCCTCATGTTTACTGAGCACTTACTACTTGCCGACGCTTTGCTAACTGCAGGGACACCGCGGTGACCTCAAAGTCAGAGTGAGCGGGAGGGGACACACAGCCCAGGATGGAAGTGACAAGAGTGACTTGGGGAGGTGGGATGGGGAGACAGTCCCGGGGATGGCGTGACAGGCAGATGCAGGGCAAGAGGAAGGGGCCTCTGCCCAACTTATTGCCCAGTCTGAAGGCAGCGGCACCTGTCCCTGAGGGCAGGGACCCTCTCTGTGTCCTGCCCTCGCTGTGGCTGGAACTGACCCATGGTGGGCACGCAGCAAATACCAGTGGAATGGACGGCGGACACCGCAGGGTGGCGTGAAGCGGTAGCAGCGGCACAGGCCGTGGTTTGGATCGTCCCCAGCTTGAGTCCAGGCTTCCCCACTTCCAGAGCCTGTGACCCAGGGTCAGTGGCTTCCCTTCTCCGAGCCCCCTCTTGCTCCTCTGCGGTTAACAAGATCCAGCCGCGTCTACACAGCACAGGAAAAGCCCAGTGGCTGAAACTCTGCTTTCTGTCTCCTTGGAAGTCTGAGGGTCGGTCCCTTCACCTCTCTGAGTCCGCTGCTCCACCTGCCAAGCGGAGGATCATAGGAGATGATGTTTGTGAAGCACCAGGCACATAGTAGGTGCACATCACGCTGCCGTCATCTCTTCCCAGCGTCTCTCAGATGCCAGCCACGTCAAAACCCTGCCGGGAGGGCAGGCAGGAGACAGGATTTGCAGAGTTGGTCTGACCTCTGGGGAGGGTGGTGCAGCCTTACCTGTCAGAGTTCAAATGCACATCCCCCTTCTCCCGCGGCTGCTGGATGCCGAGACGAGTGGAAGGATTCTTGCCGCAGCTTCGTTACAGTGGCGGACTAGAACAAGCTAACTGCCCATCGGTCAGGAATTAGTTATAGAAAACAGTACAGCCACACAACGGAATGCCTTGAGAATATTTTTAGAATAGGCTGGGTGCGGTCGCTCACACCTGTAATCCCAGCACTTTGGGAGGCCGAGGTAGGAGGATCGCTTGAGCCCAAGACTTTTAGACTAGTCTAGGCAACATAGCAAGACCCCATTTCTACAAAAAATAGAAAAATTAGCCAGGTGCAGTGGCGTGTGCCTGTAGTCCCAGATACTCGGGAAGCTGAGGTGAGAGGATCACTTGAGCCCAGAAGTTTGAGGCTGCAGTGACCTATGATGATGCCACAGCACTCTAGCCTAGGTGAGACCCTGTCTCAAAAGAAAATGTTTTTTTTAAAATAAGACAACTCTGGAAATATCATAGCTAGATACATAGATAGATACACAGCTGATAGATGCATAGATGCTACAGACAGATGATGACAAATAAATGACAGACACATAGTACATAGGTAGATGGTACATAGATAATTGACAGACACATACATATAGACACGTGACAGGTAAATGGCAGAGGATAGATTATGTATGATGACTGACAGACACATACACATGGACCATGACAGATCTAGGTAACTGACAGATACACAGACGACGATCACAGACAGACACGTTGGACAGATACGCAAGCGGCAGAAGAGGGTGCAGGACGTGCTCCCATTGATAAATTAATTTTATAAACCCACTTGTGTATTCACTGAATATTTCAAAGGAGAGTACAAGGAGAGGAATGAGAAATCTTGGACTTAGTCTAAAAGAAAGATTCAACAAGTAATCTTTCCCTCCAAGTATCCATTACTTTAAAAAAAAAAAAAAAAAGATCTTATTTGCGACTAAGCATACGAGTTCCTGGCCCAGATCCCCCGCACAGCAGGGCCCCACCGGCCCGCGTAACCTCGTCCACCCACACGGTTCATTCGCTCTCATAGCCGGCGCCACCCCCACGGCACAAGCGTCCACAGGTGCCAGACGGCGTGAGTGCTGGCAACAGACTCGGTCCGCGGAGCTCTGCTCCTCGCCACCCAAGCCTCGTCCCTCACCCGCAGAATGGGGACGATACCCTCCTCGCGCGGTGCTTGGCAGGCTTCGGAAAATGATGCGTGCGGACCCCAGAGCTGAGCTCCACCGTCTGAGGCCCTCTGGGGGTGGGGGAGGGGAGAGGCGGGCCCGTCCCTGGCGCTGAAGGACTTGACCACCCCACCCCGCCCCAAGGCACCAGAAGGTGTTGAACCCGCGGGTGCACTTTCATCCATCGAGGCAGGAGAGACGAAATCACTGGGCCAGAGACAACTTGCTCCCCACCCACAACCCGTGTGAGAGGTAAGAAGAGAAGGACGGGTGGATGTTTACCACCTACACACAGACACAGACATACACACGTGCACAAACACACAGACACAGACACGCACACACATGTACACACAGACACAGAGGCACAACACACGCACACAGACACCCATCCGCGTACGTGTACACATACACACGCACACACATGCACGCACACCTTACACGCAGGCACTGCTCGAAGGACGCCGTATGAATGACAGGTGTCCCGACTAAGTTCAGAAAACGCTGCATGCTGTAACCTGGCCCAGCCCCTCCTCCACCCGGGTGCAGAGACTCACAATTAAAAGTCATAGGGGGAGGGGCTTACTTTATAATTCATCCCATCAGCAAAATCTTGACTCGGCACCTTCCATAGGCCAAGCACCGTTGTCCGTATTAGAAAACTTGAATCCAGTATTTTCCCAAGTCTCCTGGACCCAGGACCCTATTTTCTGCCAACACATCATTAATATGCTCTAGAACCTCCTCTCCCCAGGACGCCCTGGGGGAAATGGGGACACATGGAAGAAACAGTCCCAGATGAGCGGAGGCGCCTTCCTCTCGTGAGCGTCTGCCTGCTACACCTCCCCGCCTCCCAGGAACCTCTCTGTCCCTTCCATCCTAGGCCGCGTGACCCTCCCTGAGGGCGGAGACTGTGCCTTCAGGTCACTGCCACGTCCCCCCACTCAGCAGAGCCGCTGGCACTACGCAGGTGCTGGACAGAGATCGCCCAACGTCACCTGTGCGGCAGGTGAGGCCGATGGTAGGTCCCACGAGGAGAGCGTGGCCTTCCTTCCTTTCTTTGCCTGAGCACCTGGCACGGCACCTGGCAGGTACGAAGCTGGCACTCAGAAAACATCCGCTGAATAGGTGAGTGGGGCAGGCGACTGACCAGCCGCATGCGTGAATTGATAAATGACACCATGTGACACCAAAGCACACGCCAGGTGCCCGGTCCAGCGCCGGAGGATGTCTGTCTAAGTGTGTGGTCGTGTTAGCTCCTTTAACTCCACACTGGTAAGTGGAGTGGGGAACACGGCTCCTCACCCGTGTCCCCTCCTGCCTGGAAAGGCAGGACTGAGCCCCAGGCTCCTCCCACGGGGCAGGAAGGTGAGGGTCAGAGAGGTTAGTTCACTCACGCAGGGTCACACAGCCTTAAGTGGCAGGGTGGAGCCTGGCCCTGAATCTTTCTCTGCGCATCTGCTCCTGCCCCCACTTCCTGGGCCAGGACACCCACCCGCTCCCTTCTGTCAGAGTGACAGGCACCTCCCCTCCCGCCCCAGGCCTCCAAAGGCGCCCAAGGTCAGCAGGCTGCAGAAGGGACCTAGGCCATTGAGCAACATTTTCTCAGTCTTTCCTAACCTGTGCCCATGCCAAACAAAAAACAAAGTTTCACCCTCCGCTTTAAAGTGACCTGAAATTTCAAAATAAACTGAACAGCGATACCAATTAACCCAGCAAGGCAAGGCCACTGGGGAGTACGCTTTTCTGACCTACAATCGTTCCCAGTTCTGGTAAGTCCTCCTGGGAGCCATGCCCGGCCCACCGGGCGGCCATCGTAGCCTTGATTTCCGAGGCCCCCAGACGGCTAAACCTGCCCACACTCGTCAGGGCCTACAGGGCAGATCCAGGGCGCAGGCTAGAAATCCCACTTCCTCCTTCGACCTCCCCTCTACGACTGCGGTCCCCCGATCACCGCCTGCGCCATCAGGGCTGTTGGGGGCCCCCACTGCAGCCTCCGGGACCCCAGGAACACGGGTCCTCAGGGCTTGGGGTGTGGCTTTCAGGAAACCAGAACTGGCCTCAGAGGCCCCTTCTGATTTATGAACTGGCAACAGTTCTCACCTCGCAGGAGGACTGCACGACTCCAGGGGCGGTGTCGCCAGGCAAGGACACCTGCCCAACACAGCGGTGCCGCAGCACCCCCCGCAGAGGCGGTTGCGGGCTGGTTTTCCCCCAGGTTCCCGCCTCCGTCCAGCGAGAGCACGGGACTGGCCCGGGTAGGGGCGCGGGTGATGTGCTCCCCACGGGCCAAGTGGCCCAGAAGCTGGAGGCGGGGTGTTTGGGGGCTGCGCGAGGCGCCCCCGGACAGCAGAGTGCAGGAGAGCTGCCCGCCCGCCGACGGCTCAGCTCGCGGGGCCCTCACCGCAGCCGTCCCGCCCGCCCCGCAAGGGCCCCGCCCTCCTCCCTCCCAGACCCAAGAACCACGCAGCGGGACTGCTGAACAGTGCGCTTTATTGCCCCGCACCCCGTCCACCGCGCCGGGCCAGGGGCTAGAGACGGGCGCGCGCCCTTGCAGGAGGACTGCGTTCGGAGCAGGGGCCAGTTCCGCTTCACTCCTCCGCTACCCAAATCCAGGAGGGGGAAGAACGACTTCGGCTAGGAAAAAAAAAAAAAAGATGGAACCCACAGGGCAAAAAAAAAATAATGGATGGGAGGGATCAGGAAGGTGGGTATGATTAAAAGAAAATTCTAAACGAGAAAAGGGCCGCTACTTCCCTTCCCTCTCCGCGACCCCTCTAAATGCAAAAGGTCCAACTTCTCTCCCTTCCTTGCCACAGCTCCCCCCACCGGGTGGTGGAAGAAAAGGGGAAACGCCTGTGGTCTCCACAGTTCTCGCATCTCTGGCGTCGGCCGTGAGCCTAGGGAGGCAGGCCGGCTGCAGGGCGGGGCTCGGGAGGGGCTAGCATAGTCTTGAGGCGAAGTGAGCGTGCCCTAGTACCCCCCCAGACCCCAGTGCTCCACGCGGACAGCGTTGGGGGAGGGGGCTGAGGATGCTGAGGTCCGTCCCACGCCCTGTCCATCTCTGGGTCTCGGACGTCGTCGTTCCAGCCAAGCCCGAGGGGCCCCGCCCCAACCCCCCCGGGCTTCCCCGCCCCTACCGGCCCTCCCCGCCCCGGCACTCGGCGCAGCGCCCGCCGGCTGCGTCCTCCTCCTCCTCCTCCTCCTCCCCCCCAGCCGGGTAGTAGCTCTGTCCGCAGTTGCTGCAGACCGAGGGCGCACCCACGGCATGGATCTTCTTGTGTCTCCGGAGCGCAGCGCCCTGCACGAAGCCCTCCCCGCACTCCACGCAGATGTGGGCGGGCTCCTCGCCCCCCGCCGCCCCGACCCCGTCCCCGTGCTGGGCCCGCTGGTGAGCCAGGAGCCCCGCCCCGTGCCCAAAGCCCTTCCCACATTCCATGCACACGTAGGGCTTGGGCGCCGGGGCGCGCCGCGACCGGGGCCCCGCCGCCTTAGCCCCTGCGCCTGCCATGGCTACGGCCGCCGTGGCCCCCTCGCCCGGCGCGCCCACCACAATAATGCCCTCGCCGTCGCCCACTGGGATGGCGATCTCGCCGTCCGCAGCCGCCGCCTCCTCGGGCGCCTTGGCCCGGCGGACACTGGCCGCCAGCACCTTGGCCGCCACGCCGGGCCCCGACAGCTCGGGGTGCAGCCTCAAGTGGCGCGCCAGGCTCTTGGGCTGGCTGAAGCCACGGCCACAGCGCGGGCACACGAAGGGCTTGAGGCCGCTGTGCGAGCGCCGGTGCTTGGCCAGGCTCTTGCTCTGCGTGAAGCTGCGGCCGCAGTCGGGGCAGGTGTAGGGCTTCTCGCCCGTGTGGATGCGCTGGTGCTGCATGAGGTTGGAGCTCCAGCTGAAGCGCTTGCCGCACTCGGAGCAGGCGTAGGGCTTCTCGCCCGTGTGGATGCGCCGGTGCTGCACCAGGTGCGAGCTCTGCGAGAAGGTCTTGCCGCAGTCGCTGCACGCGTTGGGCCGCTCGCCCGTGTGCGTGCGCTGGTGCCGCGTCAGCTTCGACCAGTGGCTGAAGCTCTTGCCGCACTCGTTGCAGATGTAGGGGGCGGGCGGCCGCGGCCGGGGTGGGGGGCCAGCCGGGGGTGCGGACTGGGGCGGGGACAGCTTGGTCGGAGGCCAGCTGGGGACGTCGTCATCATCCATGATGAGGATGTCCACTGGAAGGCAAGAGGCGGAGGGAGGCAGTCAGAGAGGCGGAGGTTCCATGGGACCCGCCCACGCGCCCCTGTGCCCTGGGGCCATGCGCCAGCCAAGCGGCTCCAGGCTCCCTCTGACCCGTCCCCACAGGGGGCGCATCACCCCACCCGGCATTCCTTTCGGCAGGGATCGCTCCTTGGCATTTCGCTAAGTACTTCCGTTCATCACCCTTCTCCCCCACTGGGACCCGAGCCCGCGCGTGGCAGGACTTTCTGTTCACCGATACTCCTCCCGGCACCCAGAGTAAAGCCTGGGACACGGGGGCCTCCAGGAAGGACGCGGGTGAGGGATGGAGGTCCAAGGAAGGTTCCCTAGAAGAAATGACACCCGAAACCGAAAGCCCCAGGCTGGGGGCAGGGAGGCTGCAGGGAGAGCGCACCCAAGCGAAGACCCACTGGCAGGGCCAGCCCTGAGTGCGGCCACATGCTGGTGTCACAGCTGGGCTCCAGGAAGGCAGTCCTGGCTGCAGGGTGGAGAACAGGGAAGAGGAGGCGAACCAGACCAGCTAATGGGACAGGATGGGTGCCCCAGCCCCCAGGCCATTACCTGGGAGTAAAACCCCACAGAAAGTGGCCTCTTATCGCAGATGCGCCCACACCGGCTCCCGGCTGGGGGGGGTCCTGTCTGCTGGGGGGGGGACAATTAAGGGACGCAAGACTTGGTCACCACATCTGCACATGGAGGACAGCACCACCTCCTACAGCAGCCCGACAAAGCCCGCCACACCACACCTCTGCACCACGCCTGCCCGAGGGGCCCCCAGGGAGGGGAGAACCTTCTCACAGCCCTCCAGCGCTCCCGACTGGTCTGCGTGCACTTTCCGCAACATTCGTCCTCCTCCTGGGGCCTGGCCTGGGCTACACAACCAGGCCCAGGGCCTCAGAAGGCCAATCTCTGACCTCACCCTGCAGGTTTCCTTCACAGCAGAAATCAGTTACCTCCCCCACTAGGCTGTAAGCTCCTAAAACATCGTCTCTGCCCCAACACTTAGCACGAAGAGCTCAAACACCGTCTGAAATAACGTGGCAAACACGTAAAGGGCTGTGACACTCCAACGATGATGCTCTGCACTTGGGCGTAAAGTCCTCGCGCAAGGTGGATGCTATGAAATTTTGTCTTTACAGGTGAGAAACTGAGGCACCAGGAAGCTGAGTCACAGCCCACAGTTACACGACCCGAAAGCAGCAACATCGAGATGTGCATGAGCCGTCTGGCTACAAGAAACAGCCACTCGGGGCCAAATGACAATGCCCCGCCCACATGTGGCACCCCACAGCCCAGGGCAGTGCTCCTCAAAGTCAGGTCCTGGGACCGGTAGCAGCAGAGCCACCAGAGAACTTACTAGAAACACTCAGGTCTCACTGGCACCCACATAATCAGCAGCTCTGGGTGGGCTCAGTGCCTGTGCTTGGCCAAGTCCACCAGGGGACTCTGACGCAAGCTGCAGTTTGAGAATCGACACCGGGTATTAGAATACGGCCCTTGAATCACCGGGCACAAGAATCCAGCTGGGAGCGGGGGCCTTCTGAGAAGATGGCACAGAGCCTATTCCACTGTCAGCATAAACCAGGAAGTTCTGAGTTCTAAGCTCATCACTTAGACATGCAGAAAGAGAATAAAAACTGAGACATCAGGAGCTATCTGCTGCGGGGCAGTGTGACCGAGGAGGGAAGGGGGCAGGCAGGAGAGAGGCTTGCTGCGGTCTGTAACTGAGCTACACTCTGCCCCTAACAAGTGCCCGTATTCCTGTAATTAAGATAACTGCTTTGTCTGCAAAGCTGCCATGAAAGAAGTGTAAGGATGCACCCCATGAATCAGCTGAGTGGCCGTCAGTCGCCTCAACATGAACCCTGAATACAGACAATCGGAACCTGTGATGCCGCAGGAACTAAATCGGGGCTGGCGGGGAGTGTGCAGGGGGGAGGAGGAGAGGTGTGGGAGCGAAGGCTCACCCCCCTCAGATCTGGGGACCCTGGCAAAGCAACTGCGCGAGCGCCTCACCTAGAATCCGGCAGAGAAACCCAGAGTGCGAAGGGGCTCCTGCCTCCGGAAGGAAGCTGGGCGTTGAGAGGGGCGTGCGGCGTGTGCCGTCTGGCCACCCTGCAGCTCTGGCCCAGGACCGGGACCGCGCGTCACACACGCCTGCTGCTTCTCTACACTTGAGTTCGAGTCTGCACCTCTCGGGCAGAGAAGGGCCACCCAGCTCCCGCGGCCTCACCCCCTCAAAGGAGAGGAGGCTAACAACTTTCCCCACCCCAGAGCTTGATCTTTGAAAGGATCCGACCACTTCCCAGGAAGAGCAGAGCACGGTGAGAAGCACAAAGTACGCATTCAATAAAAACAGAAGTTAGGACGACGGCTCTGATGCCAGCAGCAGCTACCCTCGGGGAGGGCAGTGCCCCCAGACGCCGGCCCTATGCTGAACGCATCTGTGGATTACCACATGGACTCCCATGGCAGATGCTGTCCTTGTCCTTCTCTCTGGAGGACTCGCCCTGGTCCCTGAGGGCATCTGGGGGGGGGCCTCCACTCCAGATCCCCCCAGGCAAAACCTCTGGCCCAGGGAGCTGCAGGTTCACTGACATCCACCTTCTAGCAAGAGCTGAAGAGCTGAGGACAGCAAGACAAAGCGAGGCCAGGAAGGATCAGGCCCTGTCCCGCCACAGTCCCTCCCCACCCCCGGCTGTAACCACCACTCTGACTTGGGTCGTAACCGTCCCTGCATTTCTGCACAGCTTTGTCACCCAAGGGTGCATCCCCGGGCATGGCACTTTGGTCGCTACTTGTCAACTGGGTGTGTCTCCAAGTCTCTCTGCACCCGCAGGTTCCCCGTGCCTCTTGCTTTCCTTCTAACTTTTCCTAAGGGCCCGTCTGGATCTTGCCAACTGCATGCTCCGTTCACAGTCCAGCTCAGCAGGCGCCTCCGTGCCCTGTGCCACCCGCCCGTCAGCAGCTGGACCCCGACACTCGCTGGGACCCAGGGCCAGCCCAGCCTTCACCTTAGAGGCGGTGTCCTGGGCATTCACCGCAGGCACCTGGCGGCTGCTGGTGTTTCTTTCCGTGATGCCGACGGCCACTGCCACTCAACACGCAGACCCACTGACCGACCGGGGGTGCAGAATGGCACGGTTCTGCTGCTGCTGCCGCCGTAAGGGCTGAGATTAATCCTAGAGACACTCCCCATCATCTGCTCGTTGGTACTCAGTGATAGCTTTCACGCAGCGATGGCAGGATAAGATGCTCACTTTCCCTTATTTGCCTAGTTTTCGAGACAATGAATTGGTTTCCTGCATTTCTCACAGCTCTGTCACCCAAGGGTGCATCCCCAGGCACGACACTCTGGTCATCAGTCTTTAACTGGGTGTGTCTGCAAGCCTTGCTGCGTCCACAGGTCCCCCGTGCCTCTTGCTTTTCCTTATAATTTTCCACCAGAGTGACCAGAGTCCTTCCTTTCTCATTAGGTTATTAAGTACTAAGTTTGACAGTTGATATCTGACATTTCACTTTGACACTTCTTGTGTGTGTGTTTTGTTATGTTTTGCTTTGTTTTACTGTGAAGGTACATCCTCATTTTTTCAAACACACAAGTTTTGGCTTTGATCATCTTTCAACAGCAGTTTTTGTGAAACCATGGGTAAGTCAAAAATTCGTGTTATTTTTTAATATGATTTCCGTCGTGGAATCAATGCAGCGCAGACAGCTCGAAACATCAAAGCGTCTGGGAAGGATGTGGTTAATGAGCACATAATGCGTCGGTGGTTTGGGAAGTTCCATTCTGGTGATTTTAACCTTGAAAATGAGCAACGTGGGTGACCTGAGACCAAGGTGGATAATAATGAGCTGAAAGCTGTAGTGGAAGCGAATCCATCTCAACCTACTCGTGAATTAGCAGCAAGGTTTGACGATACTATTCCAACAATACTGGACCATTTGAAACAAATCAGCACGGTAAACAAGCTGGATAGATGGTTCCACATGAATTAAATGAATGTCAGAAGAGAAATCATTTCGAAGCTTGCCTTTCTTTGCTGTCAAGACATAAAAGCAAACCATTTCTGCACTGTATTGTTACATGTGATGAAAAATGGATTCTTTTTGACAATCACAAGCGTTCGGCATAATGGTTGGACAAATATGAAGTGCCGAAACACGGTCCAAAACTGAAATATTCATCAAAAAACGCTAATGGTGTCTGTCTGGTGGTTCAGCGCTGGTATTATCCACTACAGCTTCGTGAAACCTGGTCAATTGATTACAGCGGACGTCTACTGCAACCAACTGGACAAAATGATGAGGATGTTTGCAATTAAGCAGCCGAGATTGACCACTAGAGACAGGCCAATCCTCTTGAAAGACCACGTCACAAAAAACAACGTTGCTCAAACTACGGAAGCTGGACTTGAAAACTCTGTCACCCACGGTATTCACCAGACCTTGCACCAACTGACTACCCCTCCTTCCAGGCTTGGGACCACTTCTTGCAAGGAAAAATATTCAATTCTAAACAAGCTGTGGAAAACACCTTTCACAATTTCATCGCCACTTGCTTCCCAGGCTTCACTGTTAGCATAAGCAAGCTACCGTTAAGATGGCAAAACCGTGTCAATCATTTAGGGACATACTTTGATTAAGTGTACTGCTTCTTGCTTGAAATACAATAAACTTAACGTTTGCTTGGAAACCGGACATTTCATATTTAATGACCTAATAATAATTATGAACTCAAGGCTTTAAACATATTTGACAAGTGTCAAGCTACTGCAACCAGTGTACTTACTGAGGCTAAAATGGTCCCATCTTTGGAGAGCAGGAGCCTCTGCGAGTGGGCTGCGAGTCCTGAGGGATTTTTAGAGCTTCCCAGCTCTCAGCCTAACAAGACACCGTGGGCTCCTCTCCTGCGCTCCCCGCTCAGGAGCTGTTTCTCCAAGAAGCGCAGTGGGAGATGGTATTTCAGTTAGAA